ACAAAAGTCAAAGTTCAACAGAACAGTGACCCACACAGGGATTTCCACCATCGAAAACAGGTAGTGAAAATAATGTCAAGCCACCTGGCTTTCAATATTGGCTATTGGCTGGTCCCTCTTATACAGTACCTCTACATTCATTCAGCTTTACCAGCTGTCCTGGTTCTCTCAACCTTTTTGGTTGAAGCACCCTGCTGCATGGGCCCACTCACTGGCCTCTCAATAGGAGTTCTCCCATACTCTCCCACTCCTCTGAGACTTCCAGATTGCCTCAGTCCCCTGGACTCACCTAAGCATCTTGGCTCTGTCAGTCTCCCGGACTCACTTAGCTGTCTCGACTCCCTCAACCTCAAGAACAAGGAATCTCTCCTCCAGCATGGAGTACTGTCTGTTGAGTGGAGCACACCCGTCTCCTAGCAGGAGCCCTGAATTGAGCCACCCACACTCTGCTGGTCTCCTGCAAGACCTGGATACTGGGTTGAAGGTTTCTTCCTGCCCAAAACTCTTTGACATCTCCAAACTCTGAAACCTAATGCTGGAATACCAAAATTTAAAGAAAAGTTTTTTCACTCACAATTGATAATCCTGAGCCCTGCACATTACATACTTGTGAGCACCAAGCCCCTTTTCCCTGCTTTTACACAGCGGCAGGGCCTCACACTGTGACAATATGTACAGCATATATAGGGATAGACATACATACACAGGCAGGGGTGGACTGACAACTCATGGGGCCCCTGAGCAATAGGGGATCATGGGGCCCCTGTGTCCTCACCCACACCCAAAAAAGCCTATGAAAAAGCCAATGAAAGGTACCATGAGCATCTCATGGGGCCCCTACTGACCCTCAGTGCCCGAGTGCTCCAATGGTCAGTCCGCCCTTGTACACAGGCATCCAAGCCTCTTCTGCTCTTGGCTGCATCAGCACAGACCATTCATGGGGGGGGGGGGGGGGCAGAACAGATGTCCCATGTAATGCTTTTAGGTTTAATTCAACACAGTATGCAAAAATTGCTTCATCTAGGTGGTTGGTGTTTTGGCCAGCTCCCTCCCATCTCCAATGTCTTGCTGTTGGCCAGCAAGATTGCCCATGGCATTTAGCAGCCAATGGTAAGGTGGCTCCCTCCCATTTCCAGTGCCTTGCTGTTGGCCAGTAAGACTGCCTATGGCATTTAGCAGCCAGTGGTAAGGTGGCTCCCTCCTGTCTCTAATGCCTTGCTGTTGGCCAGTAGGAGTGCCCAAGACTTTTAGAAGCCAACAGTAAGGTTGCTCCCTCTCATTTCCAGGGCCTTGCTTTTGGCCAGTAAGGCTGCCCTTGACATTTAGCAGCCAATGGTAAGGTGGATCACTCCCATTTCCAATGCCTTGCTGATGGCCAGTAATGATGCCCGTGAGATTTAGCAGCGAATGGTAAGGTGCCCCCCTCCGATTTCCAGTGCCTTGCTGTTGGCCAGTAGGACTGCCCATGATGTTTAGCAGCCAACAGTAAGGTGGCTCCCTCCCATCTCTAATACCTTGCTGTTGGTCAGTAGGACTGCCCATAACATTTAGCAGCCAATGGTAAGGTGGATCCCTCCTGTCTCCAATGCCTTGCTGTTGGCCAATAGGAGTGCCCGAGACTTTTAGCAGTCAACAGTAAGGTGGCTCCCTCCCATTTCCAGGGTATTGCTGTTGGCCAGTAATGTTACCCTTGACATTTAACAGCCAATGGTAAGGTGGCTTCCTCCCATTTTCAATGCCTTGCTGCTGGCCAGTAAGGCTGCCCACGACATTTAGCAGGTAAAGGTAAGGTGCAGAAACCAGAAGTAGATGAGCCAAAATTCAGTTCCTAGCTGAAAGTCAAGATTTGCAAACCAGATCACCCAGGGTATTATTACTCTTGAAGATGCACTGCAGGCACCTGTTGGTATGTATTAAAAAGTCCAAATTTTAATAGAATTAAATGAAATACAAGTTTGCAATAAGTATACGCGTCACTCTTTTTGAGCCCCTGTACAACAAGTATCTCACAGTTAATGCTAAACTCATTTAAATATATTCCTTAAAGTGTTACTAAACCCACAACAGTAAATCAGTCTGTATATGCAGGAAAGCATGCTTGTTATACTCACTGTGGAACCTAAGGGGTTAATCCTCTGCATTGTGTAAAAAAGCCGTTTGATCCTTTCTTCTCTGCCCCTCCTCTTGTTGAAATGACCACCTGGTACAGACTGAACCCGTGGTCACATGCACATGCTCAGTTTGGTGTGTAATGCTTGAGAGGCTTTTTTTCTCTTGGGAGGGTGCAGATCAGCACAGGGCCAACCAGCATTGTCCAGACAGAGGGCCACAGGTTTCATATCCTCCTAGAGCAGAAAGAAATCTCCTCCTACAAACATTAACCAGTACTCTGCTGAAGTCACAAGACTGCTCTAACTGCTTATGAGAAAATGTATTTAGCTGTTTATATTTTCTAAAATAATTGCATTTCCATATTATGTGTACTGTGGGAGACCAGATATAGTGAATGCAGGGTCCTGGGTTTAGTATCACTTTAATAGCCACAAAGGCACCAAATACCTTTGAAAAACCCTTGTAAAGGTAGTAGTGTCATCATCATTGTGCTGTACATAGCCCATGCAGAGAGCACAGCTGTGGGAGGGGCCCAGCAGGCTCTACCCACTGCAGGCTGCCTATAGAAAGGTATAGGTCACCAGTCACCCTGCACAAGGAGAGAGAGCAGCAATGACCAGTCTTTATTACCGGAAGCTCCTGCACAGAGGGAAAGTTTCACATTGGATTACTGCACAGATCTGGAAGGAATAAAAAACAAAGGCCAAGATCCAAGTAAGAATACACATGGCTCTTGTATTTAGACAATATTTGCTTATACCGAGTTCAGCTTTAAATTATTGAGCAAACCTAAAGGTAAAGAATGCTTTGGAACAAAATCTACACTCTTGTGAAATCGAGTATTGTTATTTTATTCTCAGGTATGTATGATTGCTTCATCTTATCATCCGAGATTCCTTAATCTTCACTTGCAGATGTTTAAACGGATTTAAGTGTATTTGTGAAATGTTCCCCACTTGGCAGTACTTGGCTTGTATTTGGCCTTCCTCAAGCTGGCCATACACCAGTAGAATTTGGTTCAAAAATAATTAGATTTTCTAATAATTCATTGGATCTAATCAATATTCACTGTCAATTGTAGTGACAAGAAAATTTGAAGGAGCAAAAATGTTTCTTGAGCAAATAAAATTATAACTGTGAATATGGTTTTCATTTGGGAAATAAGGTATATATTGTAATGAAAGCTGTTTCATATGTCTGGGATTCCACTCAAATAGCATGTCTGGGCCAAATTTTAAAGCGGAGCTATACTCCTCTTCACTCCAGTGTTGTGGTTTCCCGGAGCTCCTTCACAAACTACTTGACATCTTTGGCTGGTCATCTTCCAGGGTCTGCTCTTTGGCTGTTGATTGACCAGGCTGAGAATGACTTAAACTCAAAGAAAGAAATCAAGCTTCAGAGAGAATACAAAACTGGTGGCTTCTCTGGGGGGTGCGCTACAAGTGGGAAAAGGAAGGAGGTCATTTTGTAGACGGTTGTTTAGGGGAAAGGATGACGCAGAGAGGAGCTCTGTACTTATAGGTCAACTAGCACCTAGTTATATACTCCTCCCCCCACTAAACATCTTTGGTCCCCCAAAAATAGCGAGCACCTTTATGCTGATTACTGTTGATCGAAAAAATAAAACTGTAACTCCTGCACTACCAGTGAATTTAGTGAATAAATTAAAAGGTCAACAATAAAAAAAATATAAGTATTGTTGAGCCCCAGCTGCCACTAAAATGATTTGTTTTCCCACAATACCAGCTAAAAAATATTTTTAAAATGTGTTGCGCTGCTTCTTAAGTGGTGTGTCAATCAATGTGTGCTGTCAAATCATGAAGTCATGTGACCATGGTATATGGTGTAGGATGGAGCAGACATAGACGTGGACCAGAAATTTTCCCACAGACAGAATACAAAGGTACAGCGGAGGGGATTTCCCCATCCACATTGTGTGTGTGGATGGGTGAATTAAATAATTTCTTTCATTCAACCAGAACAAAAAAAAATGACTTGTGTATGGCCAAATTAAACAAATTAAAGTGGGATGCTTTTTAAGTGTTTACAGCAAACTTTTTTTTTATCCTTTTGGATAAACTTTTATATAAATAAATTAAAAACTGACCATTGTCAGTGGTAAATTGTCTCAACCCTCTAACTGCTATACTTTTGCAGAACAGCTTGTTAAAGGAAATTGAACAATAACAGACTTACTGCCAGATCACCAGGTGAAAAAAAAGGAAAAAAACCTAAAAAGCTTATCTAAGAAATGGTAAGCTGCAATATATTCATTTTTTTTTTTTTGAGGTTAATACTGCTTTAAGATGACAGCTTCCATGAGAAACATGTCCAGATTTCAGCTATATTTAAACTTCTTGTGGGCTGTTTCAGGTTACTTTGCACATTTTTATGATAACAAATTGTGGCTTCTTCTCTTAAAATAGGATAGAAAAATGTACTGTTAACTTTTTGATAAAAGTAAAAAATGTTCAGGAAAATACTACCCAAATTAGAACAGCCCACTGTTCCAAAATTGACTTCAGTAACATTTTTTGGACATTGGTTGTTTTTACCTAGTCTGTCTTTTGTACATTATCTATGTTTGTTGAGTAAGAGTTTGCATCTGTAGTGGGATGAAAGTTTTTTTACATAAAAAAAAAAAACTCAAAGTATGTATTTAGCTCATAAAGTGTCACCATCTGTGACACTGTACGCTTTCAAATGATGAAATTCCCTTTTTTTACAGTGATTGCTTTTACCCATATAGATGTAAAAGCATCCGTAGGATGTAAAAGCTTCTCTTTCTCTCTGTCTGCATTCTTGCAGCCATTGAGAAATACTGAGTGAGCTGTGATTGGTCACACACCTTGTCACATGGTACAAGGCTGTTGTGAATAGCCTTGTACCATGTGACCTCTGTGATCATTCACAGATTTCACACGTAGTAAGAAATGATGTCACAAGTGACATCTTGCTTACTACTTTGCATGTGATCACTGATTGGCCAATCAGTGATCACATGATCGGGACCCCTGTACGAGGTCCCGTCCGACGATCGGTGTTTCACTGTGTCCCAGGGAGCGCGCACAGCTAGAAAAGGCGGGTGCCCCTGGAGTGCCACCGCCCTGCCGTTTATAAACAGCAGGCGGGACGGCAAGTGGTTAAGTGTTTACAGCAAACTTTTTTTTTATCCTTTTGGATAAACTTTTATATAAATAATAAAAACTGACCATTGTCAGTGGTAAATTGTCTCAACCCTCTAACTGCTACTTTTGCAGAACAGCTTGTTAAAGGAAATTGAACAATAACAGACTTACTGGCCAGATCACCAGGAAAAAAAAAAAAAAAGGAAAAAAACCTAAAAGAGAACTTATCTAAGAAATGGTAAGCTGCAATATAATCATTTTTGTTTTTTGAGGTTAATACTGCTTTAAGATGACAGCTTCCATGAGAACACATGTCCAGATTTCAGCTATATATAAACTTCTTGTGGGCTGTTTCAGGTTACTTTGCACATTTTTATGATAACAAATTGTGGCTTCTTCTCTTAAAATAGGATAGAAAAATGTACTGTTGCAACATTTGATAAAAGTAACAAATGTTCAGGACAAATACTATTCCTAGTAGAACAGCCCACTGTTCCAAAATCCCTGAGTTCAGTAACATTAATGTGGACATATGGTAGCTGTTTTACCTATCGTCTGTCTCTAATATTGTACATATCTATGTTGAAACTGTTGAGTAAGAGCTGACAATTGCATCTGTAGTGGGATGAAAGTGACAATAAACATTAAAAAAAAACATTCAAAGTATGTATTCTCAGCTCATAAAAGTCCCTTCTGTTGCTCTCAGCCGCTTTCAAATCTCCAAATTCCCTTTTTCTGCTGCTGTGATCTGACTTCCTGTTAAAGGGTGACTACATTGGTTCTCCATGGTCCCACTTTATGTAGAAACATCCCGAGATGGACTAGGGACTGTGAAGTAAGGGATGTGTAGAGTGAATAGAGCAGTGCCCATGCCCACAACTAACGTATACTGCTTGTTCCAAACAAACAGAAACGGGGAAAAGGAGAGGTTTGGGACATTACAACAAGATAGAAAAACACAGTAAGACACAATTTAATGAAAAATAAATTACAGGGCCATTAAGAAATGGATTTTTTATGGATTATTTTTGGAGAATAGGAATATAATTTAGTGTCACTTTAACTGCTTGCCACAGTACACTGGCACAGCACAGGCTGGATCATGTATATGTACATGATCTAGCTTCTTCTGGGTGTGTATGCGTCAGGGGTGGACTGACAACTCATGGGGCCCCCGGGCAATAGGGGATCATGGGGCCCCTGTGTCCTTGCCCAAACTCAAAAAAGCCTATGTAAAAGGTACCAGGGGCATCTCATGGGGCCCCCTAATGACCCCGGGCCCTCGGGCAGTGCCCGAGTTTCCAAATGGTCAGTCCGCCCCTGGTGTGCGTGCATCCCCTGTTGACCCACACTGTCACTGGCTACAGTGTAATTTTGTCAGTAGGTCCCCACCAATGATTTATGGTTGCGATTGTAGCCAATCACAGCACAGAGTCCTGTGTTTGCAAACACACTGGGCTCTGTACACAGATCAGCAATCTGGCTGTTCCTTTTCTCTGCAAAGCAGGGAGCAAAAACAGCCAGATCTCTCAGTAAAAGCACACATTGTACACATTACAGTAGGCACACAGTTAAACCCTTGATGTCAACCCCTTCCCAGCCAGTGTCATTAGTACAGTGACAGTGTACCGGATTCTAATCAATCTTTTTTGTAATGCCAAATCCACCCAAAATGTTTGGTTTTCTTAGTTTGTATAGAATAGAGAAGACTTAGAACTCGGTTAGGATATTATTATTATCTGGGATTGCAGTGGGAGTTTTCCTTCACTCCCTGTACACCTGTCATTAGAACAGCAAGTGAGGGGGGAGCTCTACTACCCTGATACAAACAGAAACACAGCACCTTTTATTAATGCATATAAGGAACAGAACCTCTGTCAGGCTTTTAATTGTGGTCTGTTTCCCAATATAGATCCCCCTTAGTCTGGCCACAGATGGCTCCAATTTTGACCCTGTAAGCAACAGCCGGCTTAATAAATGTCAAATAAAAAATTGACTGAGCTGGATGGAAAATTAACGGCCAAACAGTGGCTGCATCCTAGCAGATACAGTCATGGTTCGGCAGAACCATTGTATTTAGGCAGCTGCGTGTGCTATATATAATGGATGACAGTAAAGGTTCCTTTATCCAGATTGTTTAATGTGGAAATGGTTTAGTAGGAATCAATTGGGGAAGCTTAACTCCTTTGCTGGCCCATATTTATTTATTTCAGGTACTTATATAGCGCCGTCAATTTACACAGCACTTTACATATATATATTGTACATTCACATCAGTCCCTAACCCTCAAGGAGCGTACAATCTAAGGTCCCTAACTTACATTCATACATACACATACTAGGGCCAATTTAGACAGGATTCAATTCACCTACCAGCATGTCTTTGGAATGTGGGAGGAAACCCACACAAGCACAGGGAGAACATAAAAACTCCAGGCAGGTGGTGCCGTGGCTGGGATTCGAACCAGCAACACTAGTACTGCCAGGTGGAACTGCTAACCATTTAGCCACTGTGCTCCCATATGAAAAAGAGGTCCACCATGGCCCCGAAACATTGGTGTATTATGTATCATTTTTTTCTGTACACTTTTACATTATTATTGAAAAATGCCCCAATAAAAATTTGAGGTTGATGAGTTGAGTGCTGGCTCATTCTTCCAGAACTGCATTCATACCTATTGCATTCAAACAAACCTGAACAGACCCAGATATGGTCAGATATAGATGGACTCACATCCGCTTACATCTGACCACCCATAGGGATACACTGCAGTCTGTTATTGATCCGTGTATATATGAGTAAAAAAAAACGGACAGATGGAGGCCTAAAAGTACTGTGGAAAAAAAAAAAACAAGAACAATCTGTCTTTGTAAGGGCTTTTTTTGCACTAGTGGCCAGAGGGCAGTAAAAAACATAGTTGATCTACGGTTATACCCCCCCCCAACTGCCTACCTGAAAGAGGGCATGTAGCCACACAGAGCTGAATACTGCGATGGCCATGATGCTTTGCCATTTGCAAATATTAAACCAATGTAGTGAATATGACCATACAGCAACTGCCCTGCAACTATGTGCAATGTACGTGGCTATGGTGCGGTGGTTCAGTCTCTTTAGGGTTAAAACGGGTGGTGAGGAAGTGACATGCAATCACATGTCAATTACAAGGGCTGCCACACATGAGAACAGGCCCTAAGGGTGTACAAATACAGATGTGTGTTTTACTCAGTCATATCACTAAAATCAACCCATATGGAAGAAAAATATATTTGAAATATGTTTTAAAAATATTCTTCCCAAATATATTTCCATATATTTGAAATTCTACAATTTTGGCCATATTCAATATATTTCAAAATATATTTTAATAAATATATAAATATATATTGCATGTTGAAATGCGTTTTTATTACAAAATATGTGAAAAATATTTAAAAAAAATACATTTCAAATATACTGTATGTCTTTAAAAACACAAATCTAAATTGTTTTTTAAATATATATTTTTTAAAATATATTCTTTAGATTTTTTTTAACATATAAAAAAGTCTTTTTAACAAATATTTTTACATATATTTGTAAATGCATTCCAAAAATGTAGATTTGCACTTTTAAAGGCATACAGTATATTTGAAATTTATTTTTTGTAATAAAAACGCATTTCAACATGCAAAAAATATATATATATATATATATATATATATATATATATATATATTTATTTATTTATATATTTTTTTAAAATATATTTTAAAATATAATGAATATGGCCAAAATTGTAGCATTTCAAATATATGGCAATATATTTAGGAAGAATATTTTTAAAATACATTTCAAATATATTTTTCTTCCATGTGGGAATGTTGAGCACTGGGCTACTGTCCTGACCAATCCGCCCCAGCAGTGATACAAAGTCGCAGAAGTACAGGCCAAGACAAGCCAAAAGATTGCAAGAAAACTAAGGAAATGCTTTTCAGACCAAACATTGACAATGGCACAATACATCAGAATCAAGGGGGTGGCTACAGTTCAGTATTAATAGTCCAGCCCTTACGCTGAGTCCAGCCAATGGTGCACAAGGAGCAAAAGGATGCTCTCCACTCAGGGTACCCACTACCATTTTCCCTCTATGCTTGTCATGTAAAAGTTAATAAGAAAAAGTATTCTTGTTTTTGTCCAATTCACTCAAGCTTCAGAACTACTCTCACATTTGGCCTTATATTAACTGAGTCATAAGGGGGCAAATATTCAACATGTTTCGGGAACTCACTGCTCCTCCTTCATCAGGGCTTGAGTGCTGGTTATTAATGGGGTATTCTGGAATTAAACTGTATAAAAATAAAATGCTGGTCAGATTGGTGTTTAGAATAATTCAAATCCTGCTCGTGTATAATTGTTGTCCAGTATACCCCATTAATTACCAGCACTCAAGCCCTGATGAAGTTGGAGCTGGGATTACCCGAAACGTGTTGCCTTGTTGTCAAGGAGAATACATTTTTTACTGGATCGAATACAAACCTGTGGTGCCCTCATCTTTTTGTATACTGCTTTGACCACTCCAGAGACCATGAGGGATACCCCAGTTGACAAAGCTGCTTCTAAGAATGTCAACTTATTTTTTAGCTTTCAGTGGATCCAGCACTCTACCAACTCATCTTTCATAAACCCAAAAATGGAAGAAATTCCTCTTTTTTACTATTGAAAGCAGAACATTTGTAAAGATGTGATACCTTTCATTGGCTGACTCAACTCATTAAGGACGCAAGCTTTCAGGACCCTTTAGATCTTGTCTCAGACTCCTTGAAACAGTTTTTCTGGTCTTGATATACAAGCCTTTAGAAATACATCTGTGATCACTATACATCAATTGGCTCAGCTCAGGTTACAGATGAAGGGAAATCATATAGTTCATAATTAGTAAGCCAAATTCTGGGACAACACTTATGAAGCTTGATGAGTGGAATAAAAATAAGTAAGCAT